GTGACTCCAAGACTCAACTGCCTCTTCTCAGAATATACTCAGGAAGATATGTCACTTCACATAAACTTCATCTCACCCAAAAGCTCTTTTCCTCATGCACTAAAAACCAACTCCTTGCAGGCTTCTCTGTTGCATGGTCATCGGTGCTCAGTCCCTCTGGTCTTGTTCGTATAATCAGGTATTTCACTCTTTCCTTCTTCAGTCCCCACATCTAAGCCATTAACCAATTCTCCAGTTACTCCTTTAAACAATTTCTTGGGCTCCCCTTCCCACCATGGCTCCAACCCCAGTCATTCCAGGTTTACAGACCCAAGCAGCCCACACGCTGGCTAGCTCTGGCTCTACCATTACTCCTCCCTGGGCCATCCTTCGCCCGGCCATCAAATCTGGTGTTGCTTTATGCTTTAGTCCTACTGCTCCCATTTACAACAGCAGAGTAGCTCCCTGCTGTCCACTGGATACTATACCTATTTGATTGTACTCCACTTCCAGGATGGAGATGTACCCATGTTTTTCCTGCCAGCCATACAGTTCTCCATCACTGGTCAATCTGCTCAGAGAATCTAACTAAAACTGACCTGTGCAAAATAGAAATATAAATCAAATAGTCCATACGTTTTAAAGCAAAATACAATTTGTACTGTTCGTCATTCTTATTAATACAGAATAAGCACAAACTACCTGTGGTTAGATAGGAATTATTAATTTTTACTTTTTTGATACTTTTTGACTGATCTTCCCCACCACTGATTTCATTAAACACCTTGCCAACAGGGTAGGATCTGGACTTATTCTAGCATTTACTCTTTTCTACTACTCCTCTGTGCCCCAACTAAGGTACATTGCATATTCAAGTTTGACAGTAATAGTTTCCTCTTCTGAACTTAGTGTTCACAGGGGATATAGAAAATCACACTATAAATAGAAATTTGAAAGGGTAATAGTGGCAAATGACAAAAATATAGACTTTGATCTCTGCCTATTTTAAAACTGCCATAACCTTTTGACTTAAGTGAAAATGTTATTCACATAAAAATCTTGTAGGATATATTTAGTTTTCAGGAAAAAAACCTGGATTTTGACCCAAATGCTCAATCTGGATAATTACTTATGTCATTGTACAAGGAAAATCAGGTTAAACTAGGTTCATAATACAAATGAACAAAAATTCTTTCTATAGCCTTTCATACAAATCAGAGAAATTATTTACTGCCTATAGATGATCTTTGTACATACAAAAAATGTTTTCTTAAAAATCATTACATTGTTCCAAATGGAAAGCTCTGAGAAAGTTTAACACACTATTACTAATTGAGCTTTGTTCATTTGCTGGTCTTTTTTCCCCCAGTAGAAGGTAAGCTCCATGTAAGCAAAACATTCCTGCTATATATCCCTAGCCCAGATAACAACAACGCCAGGCACATGGCAGGCGTGTAGTACTGAAGACACTTGTTGATTCTTTGATACAAAAGTCAGGGAGATGCCTCTAATTTGGGATAAAATCTTTAATTCTTAAGCTCAGTAATCTATAGGCTACAAAGGACAATTTTTTAAAAAAATATTTCATTTATTTATTAGAGACAGAGGGAGAGAGAGAGGCAGAGATCCTGGGTCTCCAGGATCACACCCTGAGCTGAAGGCAGTGCTAAACACACTGAGCAACCCGGGCTGCCCAAGGACAGTGTTTTAAGAAAGCAAGTTGTGTGTGTGCAATCAGGTCACACATTTGGGTGTGGCTCAGTGGTTGAGCGTCTGCCTCTGAAGGTCATGATCACGGGGTCCTGGGTCGAGTCCCACATCAGACTCCCTGCATGGAGGCCTCTGCCTGTGCCTCTGCCTCCCTTTCTCTCTGTGTCTCTCATGAATAAATAAAATCTTGTATGTGCAACAATGGTGGAATACTTTTTATCTACACTTAGAAAACAGATATATTTAGCAGTATCTTACTTCTACCTTTCAAAGATAAACTGTCAAGGCTACAAACTTACCAGCTCCATTAATAGGCTTATTAGCCAGTTTTGACAAGCATCATCAATATCCCAACAAAGACTTAGAAATTTTCTCTCATCAGTTATGGGAAACTAGGTCTACTTCTACTCTTATTAATCATTATACTTCTCTTATGCATTCATAAAAGCATCAGATGTACTAATGCACTGTAACAAAATAAGGAATGGATTAAAACGAAAATTTGAGTCCTGGAAATCACAGTTTGTTAAGACTCACTAAGTGTAGGAGAAGCTTGAAAAGACTAAGATTTCTAAAGTAAAGTCATAGGAGTATTAATTATAGAATACTATAACTTCTTTATATATTTCCAAGATTCAAAAAGCAGGAGACAGAATAATAAATGGCAATTAAATTCAATGAAGACCTAGATTGAGGTAAACCAAAAGCAAAATGTTACCGTGGTAAGTTTCAATTCTAAGTTTGCTGCCTCTCATCTAAGGATGAGAGGACTTAAAAAGCAAAGCAGAATTTACTTTTGTAATTGAAGGTTTCAGACTTTCTACTCCTAATACCCAACATAAAAGTCAAAGCAGAGTTTTTACACTTTTTAAGAAAAAATTAGGAGAAATGTCACTCTGGCTTTTCTCCTAAAATTCAAGTTTCTCCAAGTATCATTGAGGACATGAAAAATAACGGACTTTTCTGAATTATTTTAATATTTTCCTATGTAAGCACCAGAAAAGTCCATCTACTACATGATTTGCATTCTTAAGCTGCAGTTACTATTTTGTATGAGACGATGCCTTTTGCCAAACCACGGTCCTATTTCTAGTAACAAAATACAAAAAACAACAACAAAATGATCAACCAAGAGGGTAGCACTGGCACTTACTTCACTCTAACTCTATATGAAGTAGGTGCGTTATCATTCCCATTTTACAGATACAGGAACAGAGGCACCTAACTAGTGTCACACGCTACAAGTAGCCGAACTGGGATTTGAAACCCAGGCAATCTGGTTCCAGGGGAGCCCATAGTCTTATTCACTATACTAAACTGTTCATTTTGTTCCCCTAACACTCATCTGTAATTAATGTGTTGCTTCCCACCAGACTGGTGGTGTTCAGTCAGGTGATTTTGACAGTCACGACTAGCCGCCCCCCCCCCCCCCCCATCTAACTGGAAAACACTTGGCAATGTTTGAAGACTATTTTGGTTGTCACAACTTGGGGATGGGGGTGGTATTACTGGCATCTAGAGGGTAGATACCAGATACACTGCTAAAAATCCTAAAATGCACAGGGCAGCTCCCCAACAAGTCATTGTCCAGCACAAAACATCCATAGTACTGAGGCTGAGAAGCCCTATAACAGAGTACAAATTCTAGAAGGCAAGGTCCTAAGTTGATCTCAATTGTTGCTTCATAGTCAGACCTAGAACATTTAAACTTATCTGAATATTTGTTTTTAAGAGCCTAGAACTCAGAAGGCACCTGGGTGGCTCAGTTGGTTAAATGTCTGACTCTTGATTTCGGATCAGGTCATGATCTCAGGGTTGTGGGATCTAGCCCTGTGTCAGGCTCCCCGCTCCATGCAGGGTCTGCTTGAGGACTCTCTCTCTCTCTCTCCCCCCCCCAACCCTAAAAAAACCCAAATCTTAAAAAAAGAAAAGAGCCTAGAACTCAGCCTGGAGCACAGCTGGCGGGCAACAAGCATTTACTAAAGGTAACTAAATTGGGATGCCTAGGTAGCTTAGCAGTTAAGCGCCAGCCTTTGGCCCCGGGCATGATCCTGGAATCCTAGGATCGAGTCCCCCATCAGGCTCCCTGCATGGAGTCTGCTTCTCTCTCTGCGTGTCTCTCTCATGAATAAATAAATAAAATCTAAAACAAAAAAAAAAAAAAATTTTAAAAAAAGTAACTAAATTAATAGTGGTGCCTACAAAGGTCAAGTGGGTGTAACCGGGTATAGTAAATTGAAGTGATTTCAGTGCTCTATAATCCTACTTTTTGGGGGTTTAATTTTCTTCCAATGACTATAAATAAGATCAGTTCTGCCAAGACATGTCTCTTAACTGAGTGGGCCTTCTGCGAGAATATTTTTTTCTTTAGATACACAAAATCTTTAAATACATGGAACTCTGAGTTAAGTTTGTAAGAATAATACTTTTTTCTTCTTAAAATGAAAGTCTTTAAAATATTACATCCAAATAGCTTGTATACTTAAGAGATTAGCAGAAAGCCCTACATTATAGGATATCACTGATTGATTGCAGATATGCTCCAGCGACTGGCAAATAATTTGAGTTAAGATATGTTTAAAAATTCCAAAAAAGAATTGAATTATAGCACATCTAAGAAAAAGACAAATTATCTAAAAAGAAAGTAGTTCTTGAGTCCACTTCATTCAAAGATCTTTATAACCGGGATCCCTGGGTGGCGCAGTGGTTTGGCGCCTGCCTTTAGCCCAGGGTGCGATCCTGCAGACCCGGGATCGAGTCCCACGTCAGGCTCCCGGTGCATGGAGCCTGCTTCTCCCTCTGCCTGTGTCTCTGCCTCTCTGTCTCTCTCTGTGTGACTATCATGAATAAATAAATAAAATCTTTAAAAAAAAAGATCTTTATAACCATAATATAACTTCATCCTAAATTTTTAAAAAAAATCTATGAAGAAAAAAAAATCTATGAAGTAGAACATCTGTCAAAGTATAACATCTGTCATTTTCAATTCTTTCTCCTACACCTCAAAGAGCTACTAACATTACCCAGAAAGCATATATTCATAAATAATATTGCTTGATTTATAAAATTCCTTCCCAAGAAAAAATTCAAAAGTTGGTTGTGTGGATATTCAAACAATACTAGGGGGAAAAAAATCTGACGTCTTTCCCTCATCATTTCTGTAATCAATTAATCAATCTGGTTTGCCCAAATGTTAAATTATGAAACCACACTAGGTAAAATGCACCTATTACATTTAAAAAGAAGTTAAACCCATATTTATTTGCTAGCACTGTTAAATGTTACACAAAACACATTCAAGTGGCAAGTAATTATAATGCAAGCCCTTGCATGGCAATCCAAATTTATTGAACTACTGATGCTAAGTTATACAAAATTGCACCACTTTAATTAAGGCTTTTAGTTTACATTTGGCCACCTCAAAGTAGTTGTAACATTAGGTTGGTCAATTTAAATACTGTGGCTCCCTGTTGGATAGACACACAATCTTTACACCCAAACGGTTAATGCATACAAAGCAACAAGGCATTGTTAAATAAAACAGCAATAGTTACTGCAACTTAGGCCTTGTGACCAATTACACATGATTAAAATTACTTCCCACATTCACATCCACAGTACTCGTCCACCATTTAACATCTCAACCAAAACGTTACACATGTGAAACAATCACTAACAGGCAAAAATACTAAACCTGTATATTTGGTATTGCAAATACACTTATGCATGAGCAAGCAAGGGATTCACAGTGAGAATCTACAGCTGCAGAAGCCTGAAAATGATTTACAAAAATTGTTAAATCATTAAAAAATTGTTTGAAAATATACACTTCTTGTTGTAGACCCCCACTGTACACACAACTATAAACATTGTTCCCTATGTAAACAAAAAAGGAAACATATAATAAAAGATTTGAAAAGTCTGGACATTTCCTTCCCAACAGATATTAAAGGCAATGTCTTTAATCTAAGACATTATACTGAAAGGACTATCATATTTTAAAGACAAGATCACTGTCTCCACAGGTTTTTTTAAAAATTAAAAAAACTATATAGCTGTGTTAATCAAAGCGCTTATTTGTACAATACAATGATAATGACCTTGAATTTCTTAAAAAAAATTACAATAAGCTACAAGTATCAAAGAAGCGAAGTTATCTGGAGTAGTCTATATAGGAGCTCTTTGGACTTTCTTTTATTATGCTAAAATAGTGGTGCTTTTAGGATTTACATTATTGTACTCTCCAATACAAAGTATGGGGCATGTTAAAGTATACAGTACACCATTTTCATACATGTACAACATTGGTGGATGAAAAATGTCTCTTAGCAGTAATACTGGATTGTAGCCTCTGGTTTTACCAGCTGCATACTCTAGGACTATTATATAAGTAAAAATCTCTCTTGTGATACTGGAAAGTGATTAGAATGTGCAAACTGATGTAGTAGCTTTCATCCGCCTCTTAAAGGGTACCACCACAGAAAGTCCATTTAAGATGTTGGTAGGTTTAACAAAGTTGGAATGCTGGCACTGTTGAATTGGGCAACAGTTCTTCAGACCTGTCGAAAGGAAAAAATTAAGTTGAAAACATGGGTTGAAAATAGCACACTAAAGATCCAAAGGAACACATTAAAGCAACAGCGTTAAAGTGTTAGAAATGAATATAATACAGGCTCTTGTCATTACATTCATGACAATGTAGGACTATGTACCACACGACTCATAGCAAAGTATAGCACGGGTAGACATTTTCATCTTTTTTGGAATGACTTCATCTGTTCTGCTGCCCTCTCGCAAGCCAGTCAAATGAAGTTTAGACACAAAAAAGGAATGTACCTTAGTGCAAATTTCTGTGTTACCTTCCGAAGATTAAAAGCAGAAAAACAAAAACACCACGTTAAAATTTTAGGTCAGGTCAACTTTATTAGAATTAGGATTAAAAAACAGATAGCAATATTAACAAAATGAGTGTTTCCAATCCTAGAATTACATCATAAATATAGAACGCACATCTCATTAGGGTTTCTAGTATCAGAAAATCAAGACCTTTCTTCCTTACTCTTCCAGGAAGAGTGGCTACACAAAGCTGGTTCAGAGAAGTAGACAAAAGAGAATTTATTTCATGATGGTTCTTTACAGGTGACAGTTATAAACGTTCTAATTCCATATTTAAACAAATTCTATCAACTTTAAGATGGATGTCAGAAAAAGCTGTCATTACACTAAAATCACGTAATTAAACTCAAATTTGTGAGTGATGTTTTAAAAAAGGTAAAATCGGAACTCACTGTCTGCCAAGTATTTATTTACTTTGGATGATTTTCTGCATACATTCCTGGGTTAAAAAAAAAGATTTCTTTTTATTGTTCTTCTGGAGCTCAGACTTATTGCAAGTTCCAAAAATGCTGTTAATATAGATGTGGCTGCTGAAACAATTTTCATAAATGCCTTGAACTTTAAGCCCTCAGTGAAGATTCTGAATGAGTTTGGTAAACTTTCTAAATCCCAGCAAACTGAATACAGCAAATTGGATAGGACAGATGGGAGAGTATGAGCTCACACACGTGTGCTGCTAGGAATGGGCATGTGGTGAGGAATGAGAGCTTGTATCTCTAAACAGAAAGCCTTAATTGGAGAGTAGGGACAAAAACCCTAAGATACAGAACCAGAGTGCTACAGTAGAGAGCCATTTAACATAAGAAGTGGCAGAGCCACAAACACTAAAAAGTTCCCAAGGCTAAAGGCACAGAATATAGTTTTAATGATAAAGGAGCAAGAAACCATTCTCGGTGGTAAAGAGCAGTAGCTAAGAGTTGAAGGTTTACGGAGTACCAGGCACTGATCTAACTGATTTACAAGCATTAACTCATTTAATATGACTGTTTTCAGAAACTATATAGAAATATTATATGTTCAGTTCCTTTGCTGTTTCATCTGAGTTGTTTCTGCGTTTTTTTTTTTTTTAATTTTTATTTATTTATGATAGTCACACAGAGAGAGAGAGGCAGAGACATAGGCAGAGGGAGAAGCAGGCTCCATGCACCGGGAGCCCGACGTGGGACTCGATCCTGGGTCTCCAGGATCGCGCCCTGGGCCAAAGGCAGGCGCCAAACCGCTGCGCCACCCAGGGATCCCTCTGTGTTTTTTTTTTCTAACTCTTCCACCAGACTGGAATTAGCTTAAGGCAAGGAAAGAAGGTTGGTTTTGTTCACCACTACCCTGTCAGCACAAACGAGGGTCCCAATTGGGCTTAAGTATATACTGAATGAACTTCTCTAGAATAGTCATTATGTATAGTCACTTATGTGGAAGACCCTACTTTTGATGATGATATGTAAAGGAAATAATTATTTTCACTATTAGGATATCATACTAATCCATGGATATCTTAAAAATAATCTTTTTTTAAATAACCTTAAAAAAATTTTTTAGAACAACAAAATATTCTATACACATTTTCTTGATAGTGTCCTTAATGAAATTAGAGGAGAAGAATATAAAAATAGAGAAAAAGATAAATTAACATACCTGGCTCAGAGCTACAATGCATTTAATATATTAAAGCAGCTGACATGTTGACTTTTTGCGGGCCTTCCCAGGCACTGGAGTTTTTCTGTTAATTTGCCGCACTAGGTCATAAAAGATCTGCAAACACAGTAATTTTTTTTTATTTACAGAAGAAAAAAAAACCCAAAAAACAAAATAAAACAAAAAAAAAAAAAAGAAAGAAAAAAGAAAATGAACACCTGAACCTTCCATGGATGTGTGTGTGTGTGTGTGTGTGTGTGTGTGTGTGTGTGTGTATATATATATATATATATATATGAACTCCAACAAATATTGTTAGTTTAAGGAATAAGTAAAACCAGTTATTCTTATAACTGCCATATTGTTTTATTTTTTGGGAGGGCTAAAACTGTTCTCCTTAAAATAAATACTGAGTTAAGGAGCAGCAAAGTTCTTATTGTAGGTCATTACAATATTTAACATGATTCAAAGAAAACAATCTTTTACTCCTCAAGCCTATGTTATCTTTACCCTAGATGACATAAGCCCCTTCAAGGCAGAACCGTGCATGCCTTCTTGTATGTGTCTCCATCTTACACAAAACATCCTTTATACACACACACACACCTGAATACTTAATCCTGTCTTTCCCACCCCTATCCTTTTCTGTCCAGTCTTCCTTTTTCTCATAGTAAATTTAGAGGCTAAGTAAGCAATGTTGCTTATGAACATGCATATGTTTAACATAAGATTTTTGCCTGTAAGATCAAAAAAGCACCTGGAGTAAGCATTAACCTAAGGTTGTGTTAATACACAGCATTATTTTTCATTAATTTTAAATGCTGAATTCCAAGTAAAGAGTTTTTTAAAGTATATTTCACTATACCTCATTAACATTTATTTTTGATTTTGCAGAAGACTCTAAGAATGCACAGTTGTTCCATTGTCTTGCTAGATTTTGACCTTGTTCCTTTCCTACAACTCTTTCATCTTCCAAGTCACACTTATTACCAACCAGAATCATTGGAACCTAGAAATACAAAAAAAGTTGTGAGGGGAAAAAAAAAAAAAGTAAATAAATTACTATATAAATTCAACTCCAAAGAATTATAAAAGTCAACTCTTAAGGATTACTTTTTATGTCACAGAAAAATACTAAATTAGAAAGATTTACATGAAAGCATTAACCCTATTAAGATTCTTCCATGTGAAATTTTTAGAAAACAAGCTATGATCTACCTATAAAAGGGAGGGGGGAACCCTTAAAATTGTTTCAATGGACTTGTAACTAAAAATAGTAAGCAAAACACAAAATCTTTTAAAAAAAAGTACAAAAGGATATTACTATGAAAACCCAATATATTTCAAAATTTTAAAATATTTTCTAAAGAATGTGAATCAACTTTAAGCTTTCTGGTTTGAAAAAAAAAAAGTTTTCTGGTTTGTTGACATGCATTTATCAAATAATCATTCTCAATTTTGTAACACAAAAAGGAGAAATTTGGAAAGCCCCTAAAGTATAATTTATAGTTTCTCATGTAGTCTATATTAAAAAGCTAGAAAATAAAATCATCTTAATTTACTAAAAATTTAGACCACCTTAATCATTACGTCTATTTTAAAAGGACATTACAGAGAAGGGATGATCACTAGGTGTTATACTATATGTTGGCAGATTGAATTTAAATAAACTATTATTTTTTTAAAAAGATTTTATTTATTTATTCATGAGAATACACAGAGAGGAGAGAGGCAGAGACACAGGCAGAGGGAGAAGCAGGCTTCATGCAGGGAGCCTGACGTGGGGCCTGATCCAGGGTCTCCAGGATCACACCTTGGGGTGCAGGCGGCGCTAAACCTCTGAGCCCCCGGGGCTGCCCTAAATAAAATATTCTTAAAAATACAGGACATTATAGAGATAAATAATATTCACTCTGTAAAATTCCTATTAATTATTTAGAAGCTGGCTTTCTAGAGAATTTTTGGAAAAAGATTCGAATTAAGAGTACCAACAATTTTGGCTTTAATGAACAGATACAGAATTTCATATTCATACTTATTTAATGTAATTGATAAAAGAAAACTAATTATCAGAAACAGAAAACAGACTTACTAATTAAGAAATGTTCACGGAGATGTAAATATGTAAGAATCCCCCAAAGTTCTCCTGTTTCATGAACAAGGAAGTAGTGGAAGGGGAGGTGCAAGGGGGGACGGGGTGACTGGGTGATGGGCACTGAAGGGGGCACTTGACCAGATGAGCACCGGGTGTTACACTACATGTTGGCAAATCGAACTCCAATAAAAAAACATACAAAATAAATAAATAAATAAATAAGTGAATGAAAGAAATTAAAACAAGCAAAGTTCTTCTATTTCAGAAGTCTAGGAAAAGGCAACATTTCACACAGATGTTTCTGATCTCTCATAATATTTGCTTATAATTATATATATATGTAAAGTTTTAATAATTTATATATATTAAAAAGTGGTGCCCAGGGGCACCTGGGTTGCTCCGTGGTCGAGCTTCTGCCTTCGGCTCAGGTCGTGATCCCACTGAGTCCTGCATTAGGCTTCCTGCAGGGAGCCTGCTTCTCCCGCTGCTTATCAGTGTCTCCCATGAATAAATAAAATCTTAAAAAAATGAAAAAACAAAACAAAACAAAACCAAAACCAAAAGTGTGATGCCCAGACCCCAGCAGCATCAACACCATCTAGAAACCTTTGAGAAATGTAAATTCTTGAGCCCTATTATAGACCTACTGAATCAGAAACTTGGCATGAAGCCTAGCTATCTGTTTAAACCAGATTTATAGGTGATTCTGATGCAAGATGAATTTTGAGAACCACTGCTATCTATAATATGATGAGGAATTGAAGTAATCCTTTTGAAGTTTCCTAGGGATTAAACTCTATCATGGTACACTGTGAAGGGGCATGCAAATTAAGGTAAGAATTTAATGTATTTGTTGGCTTCCTTTAAAAAGTATCTTTATGTTCTTTTTCTGTCAGTTGTTTGAGATGTGTTCATATGTAGTTCTGGTTGTTAGAAGGCTCTTGAGTCTATGAGAAATATGGCCAGAACATCTATTAGTAACATTTGCCACCCACATCTTTTCTTCCTCCCCACCAAACATATTGTTTAAAAATAGGAAGGGCACAGAATTTATTTCACAAAGATTAAGGGGAGAGGAAGGTTATTTCTCACTTTCCACATTATATATTTGAAAATATGTGTAAGTTTTAAAGACGTATTTTTGCCTTTCCGGAAAAAGGCTTTTGAATAACAACGCCCATCCCAAACACATGAACTTTAAATTAGATTTAAATTCAGTCTTAAATTGGATATCACTACAATAAGGTTTTCAAGTAAAATATATTTATTAGGAAGTCAGCTTACATCATCAGTGTCTTTAACTCGAAGAATCTGCTCTCTCAGATCTTGTAAATCATTAAATGTAGACTGTGCTGTGATGGAGTAAACTAATGCAAAGCCTTGTCCATTTTTCATGTATAAATCCCTCATTGCGGTAAATTGTTCCTATAGTAGAAAGAAAGGATCATTAAAAAACAAAGTTCTGACAGTTAATTTGATAATTTTTAAAGTCTATAATTAGAGCTCAATGAAGAATACAATAGTGTTATGTAACATTTCTTAAAATTATAGTCTGTAGCAAGATGCTATTTGAAAAACTGGTATTTCATGAAATAAGTTTTTATTTAATACTAATACAATCAAAGCAAATTTATTTGCAATAAGTTTACTTGAGTAGGAAAGAAATATCCTTTTCTCCAAAAGCTATTTAAAAGGCAGTTTTTAAATATATAATATATAGGGTACTGAAACTGAATCCCCAAATTACTCGCAGCTATTTCACAATACTCTAGCTCTAAGGAACCCACTGGCATGCTTATATCTGTATCTTGCCATTTTCCCCATACTTTTTCTCCTTCACTAGACTGTGAGCCTTTATAGGTAAGAACACAGCCCATGGCACGTATCAGGTATTCAAACATTAGATGAATGAATACCATATATCTAGAATAAATCTTCCTTTCACCCTCAGATACCAACAAATCTAGTTGGTCTATAAATATTTTGAAGAAAAGATACTGCTCAAGTTACTACTCCATGCAGCCACCACTGAGGAATAAACGTTTATCTGACTATTTTCCACATTAATTAAAATATGATAATATATTTTAACTTGTTTTTAAAGTACTACTGAGATGGTAAATTTTCATTCTAATTTCTATTTATTTCTTTAATAAATGATCCACTGCAATTACAAAGCACACATACACAAAACAGAACTCAAGAGAAAAACAACTTTAAGATTGAATACAAACAGTAAGCTTTAAATAAGCGTAACTAGTATTTGTCTATAGAGTACTAGCATTTACAAGGTCAATATTGCACATGCTGTGCATATACTTTGGTACTTGTTTTACGTACCGTTCCTGCAGTATCCAAGATTTCAAGCATACACTGTTGTGCATCTACTTCAACTTGCTGGGGGGGGGGGGTAGGGGGGATAAAAAAAAACTTTATTTTGTAATGTATAAAAGAATACCTTACTATATATAAAAACTAATATGATATTTAAATAGAGGTTATTGTAACTTTACAATTAATTTCAAGCAATATCTGAATAAAACAGGAGACAAAACAGCTATACAATCAAGGTCTACTGACCCTTAAATTGTATTAGGTGCAAAAACCATGCGTTCTTAACACAAGGATACCTACAAGACCTAAGCTCAATGTGAATCAGTCAGAATTTAATTCTGGGGAGGAAGTGATTTCAAAATAGTTCAAAAAATTTTAAAAGCTCAGTAACAGTTCCAATAAGATCCTAAGTCATTTTGTCTATCTCAACACTGCCATACTTTATTTAGATATACCTTCATTTCTCTAGATAACTACATCCCTTTCACCATATTGTAACAACAACATTGGAACAACAGCAAAGAAGCAGAAGACAGGTATCAAATAAGTTATATACACCTGTGACCCCCTTCTACCTAACATTTCCCAGGAAAGAAGTTACTTAGATATAAAAAATGTCTGCATATTAAGTTTTACTGTCACATGTTGTGTTAGAGGACATAGAAATAAATCTTTCTATTATGAGCAGTAGCACTTTCTCAAACAATTATTAAGTAGAAAGGTTTGGGAGACTTCTGTATTTCTATCTCTAAAAAGAAGGGAGCCTCAGAGTATTCAGTTAGGTGGTGTTGGGGGTTGGTGGATAGAAGTATCACTTGAAATGGATGGCCTAGTTCTGAAGTTTGTGTGTCAAATTACAATTTTAGGGTCAGAATAAACTTTAAAATTCTCTGAAAGGAAGAGAGAAAATGTGGGCGCAGAGAGAGAGAGAGAGAGAGAGAGAGAGAGAGAGAGAGAGAACACACGAGCAAGTGTTTTAAAATTCTCATTAACTGGTAAGGACACAAAGCCAGGAAATAAGTGTGAACTTTTCCTACTAATTTTATAAATAAACTCTGCTTCTTTATCCAAATTTGTCAACATTCAGCAATTACAAAGCTAAAAACAAGAACTTATATTTATAGTAAAGTAAAAAGCCAAAAAGCCTTCTTGAGTAACATATACCTTTCTATAAGAATCTTCTATCGTAGGATCATATTTTTCAACAAAAATTCCTTGAACAAACTGTACAGTCTGGAAAACAAACAAAGCACAATTTATACTCCTTATAGCAACAAATGCAAATCTGTTTTTTTTAAAAAAGATTTTATTTATTCATGAGAGAGACACAGAGAGAGGCAGAGACACACACAGGCAGAGGGAAAAGCAGGCTCCTCAAAGGGAGCCTGATACGGGTATTATCCTGGGACTCCGGGACCACGCCCTGGGCTGAAGGGAGACACTCAACTGCTGAGCCACCCAGGCATCTCCGAATCTGTATGCTTTACTTTTTTATATTTTATTTATATTTATATTTATATTTTATTATTTTATTTTATTTATTTTATTTTATTTTTGTATGCTTTAAACTACTGATTTCACATAGGTAATTACACCCCTGATGAAAACATAACCACTACTACATTTAATGTATGCATTTGTTGAGAAAATTACCTGATAAAGCTTCTTAAAAACATCAATAATCACTATGCGCCTTATTAGGTAATTTTACTGTTAGAGCTCATATTTAACAATTTTATTACCTTATTTTTAAAGGGAGAGAGAGCAGGGGGAGAGGGTGAAGGGGAGAGAGAATCTAAAGTAGGCTTCACGCCCAGTAGGGAGTGATCTTATCCTGGGCAGAAGTTAATAATCTAGGCTTAAGTGAGACACCCAGGGACCTTGTATTTAAAAAAAAATTTAAATGTCTTCTATTTCAGTCTTAACATCTTAAATTTAAATTTTAATTAGAGGCTAATTGTTTTATATAGTATATATAAGTATATACTATATATATCCTTAAGACACCTCATCAATTGGATATATTTACAAATGAAAAAGCAGTCCTACTGTATACATTTCTCAGTTTGATCCAAACATCGCGTTCTGTGCTAGGTGGTCATTCTAAGCTGAGTGAGATGGTCAATCTGTCTTATAATGGGGCTTTGTTAAACTGAATTACTTGAGTTATTTTCCCTAAATTTCTCCCATTCCCCAGCCACTACCATTGTCTTTTCTCCCCACATTATTAGTACTATTTTTAAAGATTTTATTTTTACGTAATCTCTACACTCAACATGGAACTGGAACTCACAACACCAAGATCAAGAAATGCATGTTCTTCCTGAGTCAGCCGAGAGCCCAACAGCTATGCTATTTTTGATACAGAAAGCATGGCTGTTAAAATAATGTGAAAACTGGACAAAGGTAGTATCTGAAAAAAGTTTTAAGCTTTAATATTTGCCAACATAAAATATATATTATAAGCCAAGTCACAGTGAGAAAGACCAAAATTTGCTATCTGGCTCAGAAATACAGATGCACACACATTTATATGCTCTCCCTTTCTATGCTTAGCCCAAATTATATTGTGGCATATCTCATGTTGGTCTGGATCCAATGGACCAGAGACACCAATCTACCCAGATACAACTAAAAGCTGGCTAAAATGACAAGAAAAATATTATATTGCTTCTAAATGTCACTGAGATTTCACCTTAACAAATAAATGAAGACAAATAATCAAACCTAAAACTCAACAGAAAAAGAACATGTGTTGGAGTGAATTAGCTTAGGTACAGTGAGAATGACTTACCAGAGCAGATTTTCCAACGCCTCCTGAGCCAAGAACGACTAGCTTATACTCACGCATGGTGCAAACTTGTCAAAAGCTAGTACCTTATAAGGGTGGGAAAAAGAGAAAGAATTCTTAAGTAATAACTTCTTTGTATTCATGTGCTTCTTATATAAATTAGATATTCAAGCAAGTAATTTAAAAATGATTACTCTATCATACTAATATATGCATTCTGTAACCAGACTTACTATAGGATGATATTGCTAGGACTCTTTATACCACATCAGAGGTAGAAAGAAAACCACAGAACTGCAGACATGACTTTCAGCCTTATCCTAAATTCAAACAGAATAAAATATTTGCTCTATAAAGTAAAAAAAAAAAAAAGGAGGAAGGGGGCAGCAGGGGCTGAAAAACAGCATCAAGGGGTATTTTACCAGTTACAAGGAAGGTAATAGTGACATGCATATTTAACTCCCTTTTTGGAACCATCGGTAACCTCGAGTCATAGGCAGTTGAGTGCCTACTGACTACAGGGACATACCCAACGAAGAACAACAAAAAATCCCTGTCCTCATTGAGTAATATTCCAGTAAAGGTCAACTTGCTAAAGCAAAGGTCTTCAAACAAATCTAGTGGATCACCTATTTTGCACATAAAGTTTTACTGAAATACATCCATGTCCATTCATTTGTGTATTATCTGTGGTTGCTATCTTGCTGTAATGGCAGAGTTACTTAGTTTCAACACAGGCCATCTGGTCCACAAAGCCTAAAATATTTACTATCTGGCATTTACAGAAAAAATTTGCCAAACCCTGGGATACATGAATGATAAGTGAGTTAGTAGAGAAAGCAGACCAAATATCTATTCCTGAAGTGTGGGGAAGGTAAAAACGGTTAGGAATCAGAGGTAGAACTGAAGAATATGAATGTTCAGACTGAAAAACTATGGTTTGGGGGTACCTGGGTGGCTCAATCAGTTAAACATCTGCCTTTGGCTCAGGTCATGAACCCATGGTCGTCCGGGCTCCCTGCTCAGTGGGGAGCCTGGTTCTACTCCTCCTGCTTGTGGTCTCTCTCTCTCTCAAATAAATAAAATCTTAAAAAGAAAAAAAAAAGGGGGGGGGATCCCTGGGTGGCGCAGCGGTTTGGCGCCTGCCTTTGGCCCAGGGCGCAATCCTGGAGACCCGGGATCGAATCCCACATCGGGCTCCCAGTGCATGGAGCCTGCTTCTCCCTCTGCCTGTGTCTCTGCCTCTCTCTCTCTGTGACTATCATAAATAAATAAAAATTTAAAAAAAAGAAAAAAAAAAGGAAAACTATAGTATTATGAAATATTGCAAATCAAAACAAAGCCGAACAGAAACCATAACCAAAGCTTATCATCCTCATAAAATTTCAGCATACTAAAAATAGAAAAAGAAGATCCTAAAAGTTTCCAGGCTAGGGATAGAATGACTAAGTTCCCATAGTCCTAGAAAAAAATAATTGGTCAGTGGCCATGGGACCAAAGTGGCCACCAGTACAGGTTCTCAATCTTCTTACTCAAGAAATGACAGTTCAATAGTCATAGTAACATAACAAGTGACTACCAGAACTGATTTATTTATTTATTTTTAAAGATTTTATTTATTTTTTTCATGAGACACACAGAGAGAGAAGCAGACACACAGGCAGAGGGAGAAGCAGGCTCCATGTAGGGATCCTCCAGGATCACGCCCTGGGCCGAAGGTGGCACTAAAGCGCTGAGCCACCAAGGCTGCCCCAGAACTGGTTTAAACACATTTAATCAATCAACAGCCATTATCTTATGATCTTAGCCCTTTACTTATGAAAGTCAGTCAATCAAGAATGGACTCCATTTGGCTTTATTTATGTTAAAATCTCTTTATATATTTTTTCCTTCCAACCCACCATCTTAGAAAAGACATCCTTTATTTTACCTTTCTATGCCAGTCCTTTATTTCTCTTTAGGACACTATATTTATTGCCATGGCTTCCTTTCAAAACTTTCTCCATTTCTGTCTTTAGATATGTAGACCTATCATGTTTTTTCTTCTCCAGGATGGGAAGAAAATTGCACCCCCAAAACCAACCAACCAAATTAGTCAACTTCCCCACTATTCTATGTTTTATTTCTTTGAATCCATCACTTCCACAGACTTTTCCCTAGTTCTTGAATATTGTCTTAGTTTTTGTGATCTGCATGGTTCTTACCAGATTGTAATTTTAGGAAAGAGAATATGAACTAAAAGTTGAATTAACTTTAGCTTTATGAATATTCCACATGGTGGGTGCCTGGGTGTCTCAGTGATTGAGTGTCTGCCTTTGGGTCTCGTCATGATCTCAGGGTCCTGGGATCAAGTCTCACATCAGGCTCCCTGAAGGGTGCCTGTTTCTCCCTCTTGCCTATGTCTCTCATGAACAGATAAATAAAATCTTAAAAAAAAAGAGAGAATATTCCGTATGGTAGTATGCATACAAATGTAGGATGAATAAATAAATCACTCTTGGAGACCCTAGTGGCTCAGTTGGTTAAGCATTCACCTCTTGATTTCGCCTCAGGTCAGGATCTCAGGGTTGTTAAGACTGAGCCCTGCACTGGGTTCTTGCTGGGTGTGGAGTTTGCTTAAGATTCTCTTCTTCTGTCCCTCTCTCCACTCTACCCCCCACCATCCTTGCACTCTCAAAAATAACTGAAGTCAGGTTTACTTCTTTTAATGTAAAACTCATTTAAAAACAGGATTACTAAACACACACACACACACACACACACACACACACACCAAACAGGATTACTTAGGTCACAATTCTATTACCAGTTCCATGCAAACATTACCCAAACGCATAGATCTATACTGATCTGAGAACTATTTTTCAAAAATTTAAGAATTCTAATGAAAGATGTCTTCAAGTTTGTTTCTGATCCCAACTTGAGGAAATACGGTAACTTTGTGAATAAGAATTTCCTAAATAGCCCAAGTACTCTAACCAAGCACTTTAGTAACAGTAAACCAAATACTTCAACACAAATAAAATTAGACTCATCTCCCTGCATTCTTTTACCCTTTATGTACCTGGGTTGTGCAAATTTTTTATAACTTCTTAGTCACTGTTTCTCTCTTAAAAAAAAAAAAATTCACTTCAATGAACACACATCAAAATGCCAACTGCCTTGCTTGAATGACAGTGATTTCTTGGTATAAGGCTTAAAATTAAGCCTTTTGGATATGGCTTTGAGGTATACTATTTGGTAAATATTTCTGTCATTAGTTTAATTCTTCAGCTGCTTACTCTGCTTTTGTTCATCTACTTGTGCAAAATTTTGTTGTGTGTTTTGTTTTGTCCTGGACTGTCTCGTTTCCATTCACTGAATAAGGGAGTGCTCCATTTGGAATGGATGGAGGCACAGGCCCCCACAAGCCTCCAATCCAATTCAAGCTGGTTCTGGGCACCAGAAGTTGAAGGTAAGTAAAACCAGTGACCTCTTCAGGCAGAGATGAGTGACTGGTCACATTCACTGTGGGTCACTTATCAACTTTATGACAGCATACTATAAGGTCAGTAACTTTGGGGTTGTTATGTGGCCTCTTCCTAACTAACCTCTGCTTGGTCAACGAATGTGAGGATGTTTCTAAGACATATTTGTTTAAAAAAAATTTTTTTTAATCACTCTTAAGTCATTTGTATTTAGGAATAATTTATATCCAGTAAAACAAGGAGATCTTAAAGATTACGGTAAAATGAATTTTGACATTGCTAATACTTTCACAACCATAGCCCTCATTAACGTTTTCTTTTTTTTTAAGAGTTTAAGTAGTCTCTACAGCAAACATGGGGCTCAAACTCACAACCCCAAGATCAAGAATTGCATGTTCTACCAACTGAGTCAGCTAGGCAACCCAGTCCTCATTAAGATTTAAAACAGGGACACCTCGGTGGCTCAGCAGTTAAGCATCTGCCTTCAGCTCAAGGCATGATCCTGGAGACCCTGGATCGAGTCCCACATCAGGCTCCCTGTATGGAGCCTGCTTCTCTCTCTGCCTCTCTCATGAATAAATAAATAAAATCTTAAAAAAAAAAAAGATTTAAAACATTTCTAACTACCCAGAAAGTTCCCAAGATGCTTCTTCCCAGTTAATTAACCTGACACTCTTTTATCTGGACTCTAGTGCTTGCTTGCTTTGTCAAAGCCACAACCTCTTCTAAGGAAGAACTTCTGTGTTTTGTTTTGTTTTTTGAAAACTCCCAATAGAATCTTGCCTCTTGTACCTACACTGGCAAATGACAAAAACTGTGACTTTAAGTTTCACTTAACAACTGGACTTATGGCCAACTTTCGAAATATCAAAATTAATACCTTACGAGGAACTATATAACTACTGAAAAAATTATGAGACAAAATAACATTCAATAGTCAACTTCTTTAATTGGTACTCTGGGGCCTCAAAATGACTAAGATAGTCTTTATTTCCCCCTGCTCCAACCTTTGGAAGCCTACTCTCCTTGAATCATTCTGTCTCTACTTATACTACCCACACAATTCTATTCCTTTTGTTCCTTCCTCTTACCTCTGAAATCAACTACTTTTCTTAAGGGTTTCTCAGCAAAGGAACAATTATACTAGCCTCTTTAATTGCTGGGAGTAAAAGGCAGAAATACAGAAACTGAATTTAAACATGAGTCTAGATTTAGTTATGGTTAAGGATTTTCTTAAACCTCAGGGAGACTGACAGAAATTTTCTGAATTCCAACTTAATCACTAATTACTTAATTTCCTCTTTATAAAGAAAAATGGTTAAAAGCAGAAAGGAAAAGACCAGATTCAAACAGCCCAGCATATTTTAAAATTGGCCTTGAGAGAACAAAAACCTATTTAGGAAATACACCATCTTCAATCTTTCTTAGGGGTAGATTGGTTAAGATTTAAAATTTTTAAGCAAAATAAAAATTACTTGATATGAAACAAAATAAAAATTAATGTCAGGAACTGTAAAATATATTCTGTGGTAGACCCAATAGTGGTGGTAAAGAAAGACGTATTCATTCTTTCTGTTAACTGGGCTCAGATACATGACATTTTCTTTACCCATTCAACA